ATACAGCTGCAGCTGATCAAAACTGCTGTGGCGAGCATCCTCACTAAAACTAAGAAATGAGAGCACATCACACCAGTTCCAGAATGTGCTTCGTAAAAGAGCTTTCTTGTCTAACTGCATCTTCTCACTCAATCCTGACCTAAGGAAAGTGCTATAGTGATTATTTTAATGTCTTATATTGTGAGCTTGCAGTGCCATCTAGTGGTCACAGAGTGTTACAGCAAAAACATAACTGCAAAAAGGAAATTCACAAAATGAAGTTTCACATAAGCTCCCAAATCTCAGATGAAGAAGTAGTGATACTGACAGCAGAGCTATTTTGGTTGTTGTCCAAAATATAAACTGTGCAGTCATGATTAACATTGTTCAGAAGCTTAAGATAATCATTTTAAATGTGTGTTGTTTTGTCAAATATATTTGGTGGACGAATTTTGTTTAGATTTACAAACATTTATCTATTCAGAACTCTCCAGTGATAATTATTCAAAACCTTGAAAAGGTCTATTATGGATTTACTGTTATGATATATTTGGTTATGTTATTGTTTTAGCCTTGTCTAGTTTTAAAGAAAAGGCCTCACTTTGAACACTTTGATATCTAGATCGCATGCTATTAAAAGGGCCCAGATCATTACCCCTCCACCACTTTGGCTGAAAGCTGATATGATTTTGTTTGTAGGAATATGCTGTGCTTACTTTCTCCAAACATTGTGCTCTGCAATATACCCAAACAGCTCTTTTGTCTCAACGGTCTAAACTCTTTTAATCCCCAGTTATGACATTTGTTTCAGCAGATGTCACCTCTCTTTGACATTTAGTTAGCTTTGTTCTTCAGACTAGCACACTGCACTTACACTAAATACCATCTGGCATTAAGATGAGTTAGTCTGCAGATATTTGTGAAGGTTTTGACAGAAGGAAAATTATCATTTGAGTCTTAAGCACCAACTGTTAACATCGTATAAGTTATTTTCCTGATTTATGAACTTAAACCTGCACACCAAAATATAACCAAAAAAAAAACAAAACACCGTTTTATTTACTTACAAACCAGAAAATATAGACTTTTGGAAGAAAAAAAAAAACATTAGAAATCATCAAGTATATAAGCTAAATTAGTGTGTATAATTTAATGCATATAATTGAAATAGATACTTTGCTCAGAAAGGAGATAAAACAAACAAACAAAAAAAAACAAACAAAAAACAGATTATAAATTTAGTAAATAAAAGTTTCAAACTTTTAAAAGAGGTATTTCCCCAGATGATGGCAAAATGTGTCATCTAGTGTTGATCTTTAAAGTGTAATTGAAAGGGAAAAGCACACCACTGAACAGTAAAAAGAAAAAAAAAAAACTATACTAACATTACTACCAAAAATAATAATAATAGTAATAGTTTTGTCAGGTTTTGTCTGCAGTTAAAACTTTCACTGCTCTTCATATTTGGCCATTACATCTTTCTTAATCAGCCTGGCTTATCCTGGACAATATAAATGAGTCTGTCAATAAGAAAAGAAACAATTAAACAAACACGGGTATTAGGAGTGGGTCATATCTATTTAAATGACAATTTATATTTAATAGGGAAGAAAATAACGATAAATGTGAAGGATGTGGAGAAAAATAAAATGTAGAACGTGTACTGATCAACTGTAAAACTTATGAACATGAAAGGGAGAAATTAAGAAGGATGGTTGGAAGGACAGGCCAAGAAGAAGTCATAAAGGAATATTGGGAAATGAAGGAAATATAAAGGATATTCGCAGATTAAGGAAAGCATTATTTATTTATCTACAGAATACAAAATAAAAAAATAGAATTTGATGTAAAGTAATGTTGTTACACACTCATGTACAGTAGGTGGCTGTATGCACATAAAGTTGCTTGCGATCCGCCATAATAGAAAAGAAGAAAAAGAAGAACAAACACGGGGAAATGATGGACCGTGGTGGGTGCGGCTGAATGATCATGTGACTCTTCATACGTCATCCCCCACTCTTCCGGGTTATTTTGTTCGGGTGAACTGTGGACTCCGCAACTGTTGTGGTACTTTTAACAGTAGTATCGCCAACATGAATCGTATTTTTGGCCGCGGTAAACCTAAAGGGCCTCCACCAAACCTAACGGACTGCATAGGAACTGTAAGTGAAACCATTTAGTTTATTTCTCCATGGGTAACTTAACTAAGTAAACAAAACAAACCTGGATAACAGCTAGCTAACTGTTAGCCATCTTTAGACATAGAAACTATCAACTAGTAGATATGTTTAGACAGTTTTTTTTTTAATGTTTTTTGTATTTTGTATTATACTTCTGTTAAATATTGATGTGCTTATACTTTACCTAATGCCTTTTATCAAATCTTGTAAGCAGGATATAAAAAAAAGTGTTCTATACTCCTGTTCGGATAATGACTCAGCGTTACATAAGTGTACGTTTAGCAGCAAGTACCTAATTTAGAGCTAAATAAAGAAAAAAGGGTGTCATTCCTCCTTTAAAGCCAGCTGAAATAAACTCGTTAAACCGGTCTGTTGTGTATAAGCAGAGCTGTTTTAGCCGACAGTAGAAAAAGAACAAACTACTCTATATTCCAGATTTAGTTTATCTTCATTATATTTGTATGGTTGTATTTAGGTGAGATTTCTCGTCAGATTATCTCGCGTTTACCCCCAAATTCTGCGATGTTTGTTTTTCCATGTAGGTGGATTCCAGGGCGGAGTCGATCGACAAGAAAATCGCCAGACTTGATGCAGAACTTGTCAAGTACAAGGATCAAATGAAGAAGATGAGAGATGGGCCTTCAAAGGTGAAATCAGCTGAGAAAATAGTTATTTCTTTCCTTTCACTAATTACCAAAAAGAGCCGCTAGATCCACACAACTTGCAACAAAGGAGCATGAATTATTTACCCAGTAGGCATGATTGCAAAATTCTTACAAGCATTTGAGAACAATGGATTTCATTTCAAGCACCCTTTAGTTACACCATGTTAAGGTGTGTGTGTATATATATATATATATGTGTGTGTGTGTGTGTATATATATATGTAAACTTTTCTGGAAGGAAGAAAAATATTTGATAGTTAAGTACTTTTAACGATTTAATTATGTATCCAGGATTAAAAAAAAAACGTTTATTTATTTAATTCAGGCATCACAATTTACGAAAAGAGATCTTGCCACTTTATGTGACAGTTTTGGCTTTCCATACCAGCTCCAGTTGCATTTGATACCATTTGTATGCTTTTCTTTTTGTGACATGTTTAGATTTTTTATATATATATTAAAACTGGCAACAGAAAATGTCCTGCGTGAAAAGGAAAAAAGAAATTGTGATGTTGAAATAAAAAAAATACATTTATTTTTTTTCTTATTTATGGACACCTTTCACAACCCTGAAAAGCAATTTCTTAATCATACAGGAAGTTTTTTATTGAAGGAACCCCAGGTGATTGCATTGAATCATTGACTTTACAGGTTTATGAAGATATTTTTTTTTAATTGCTGCTCTCAAGGAACCAACTGTTGGGGGGAAAAGTAACAAACCAGACAATGTCTTAAATTTTTTCGTGTCCTAAATATATGATCATTTCTAGTCAGATTACATTTAGTAATTATTTACATATCCAAACATTTTGCAGCATTGTAATCTGTCAATATAATTTTATACATTTTTATTTTTCTCTCTAGAACATGGTGAAGCAAAAGGCCATGAGAGTTCTGAAGCAGAAGAGGATGTAAGTCTAACAAACTGTCCCTTTTGTTCCAATATTACTTTTGGGCTTTTTACTTTACAGTTTGATCATTTTTATCATTATTTCCACAGGTATGAGGGCCAGAGAGATAATCTCATGCAGCAGTCCTTCAACATGGAACAAGCAAACTATACAATCCAGAACCTCAAAGACACTAAAACCACAGTAAGAATTTTGCCCTCTGAATGTTAAAGACAAGCACTTTTTCCAGTTTATATTTAAAAAGAACGTTTTTTTTTTTTTTTTCAGGTGGATGCCATGAAGATTGGCCTTAAAGACATGAAGAAAGCATACAAGAATGTGAATATTGATAAGATTGAGGTATGCATTTTGGATATTTAATGCAGTAATTAATGAAAAAGTTTCAATATTAGCCTTAATTTATTAAAATATTTTTTTATTTTTAGTAATTGTACAAACTTCCCTTCAGGTATGATAAATTAACACATATATATTTCAATTTGTTAATATTAGGATATCCAAGATCAGCTGGAGGACATGATGGAGGACGCAAATGAAATCCAGGAGTCTCTGAGCAGGAGCTACGGCACACCGGACATAGATGAGGATGACTTGGAAGCAGGTGAGAGGGGGTTAAACTGATTTAAAGGATATTAAGACTAGATATTGCATTCAGTAAAACCTCTCAATCTTTAAGAGTTTATAGGTATTTCGCTAGTGAAGAAAACATTTAGCAGTTTTGCTACTCTGGAAAAGTCTACAATGTAATGAAGGTATTTTTAGGTCTGGATATATATGAAAAATATAAGTGTATGGAAAATCTGTACTAAATGTTTTTAGTAATCTGTAGTTTAAACATTGTATCCATATATTCCAAAAATGTTGTCTGTTCCTCGTCCATTTTGTTCATGTATCCAGCAGACATGGGCAATGTGGAGTCAACAAGTCATTTCCATGTCATGTATTTAATCTACCCAGCCAATTAACCACCGTGAATTAACCTGTGCAGATTGGACTCACCTGAAGAATGGACTCACCTGCTTCAGTGGCTGGGTAGAACAAATACATGACATGGAGATGACTTGTTGACTCCACATTGCCCATGTCTGGTATCCAGTCAGTCACTCATTGGTGCCCGAATCCACCTATATTATCCTTGTTTAAACCTTAGATTATTGTATTTGTTCCTTATTCATCCATGGGAATCAAAAAGGGGAAAGTTATTATTAGTCAAAATACCCCAGGTCTGTAAAAGGACTTTCTTTAAGTAAAAATGTGCAGGAATAACCTGTCCAGGCTGTCCCTGCCTCTTACTCAGTGACCACTGGAGATACGCCCCAGTCTACCTGCAAGCAGATCTGGATTAGAGTCCTGCACGGGTCATGTTTTACCAACCCGAACCCATTAGGATGACTACCAAACCCGACCCGTCACCCGCGGATATCTTCAATTCAAATCCGAACCCAATCCGACCCGTTGATATTTAACCCGCAACCCGACCCGTTAACACATCAAGTAATAGGCTATAGTACGCTGCGCTGCAGAACAGCGCCATTAACACTGCAGCAGACGTGTATGCACTGACTGTGGCCTTTTTGGAGGGAAGCCCAGACTGCCGGCAGGGCTTTAAGCTACAACAAGGGTGACCCCAGTGCCTGATTAATATAACATTTCTGATGTCCATAACAACACACACGCATAAAAAAAAAAAATCCCAACTACCCGCCCGCACTAAAAAAATATCCGCCCGACCCCGCGTACCCGTTTATTTTTATTTATGTATTTTTCACCCGCAAAAAAGCATTTTAACAGGTGACCCATCAGGGAACCCGCGGGTACCCGACCCGTTGCAGGACTCTAATCTGGATGATAGATGTGCAAATGACAAGGAATCATTAGGAGGGATTTACTTTGATGTTGAACATTTGAGTTTGGGTCTTTTTAAGATCAAAATCTGGAAGTATAAATGCTTTGACGTAATTAACTTTATGATGAGATTGACGGTTCAATGATTTTCTTTCTTCAGAGCTGGATGCTCTGGGAGATGAGCTCTTGATGGATGACGACAGCTCGTACCTAGATGAGGCTGCGACTGCTCCCTCCATTCCGGAGGGGGTTCCAGGAGACAGGTCCACCAACAGGGTACAAGATAGATTCTGTTTCTTTAGTTTTTTTCTCATTTATTGTTAACTTTTTAATAACAGTAATTACTTTTTTTGGTTTCAGGATGGCGTTCTGGTGGATGAGTTTGGCCTTCCTCAGATTCCCGCTTCTTAAAGGAGCAATTCGACTAAATGATGTGGAAGTTTTACATGTATCATATTCTTTTCTCTTGTTTGTATTTATCCAACTGACACTCCGGGCCTTTGAACACAGCAATGAAAACCAAAGTATCTTCTGCCTGATGGATTAGAAAGTTGCAATCTGGCCCCTTTAACTAAAGCTTAAGATTGTTTCTTCAACTGGGCTCCTCCCACTTTAAATAATGGTTAGAAATGGGGTTCTCTTAACTTTGTACAGTTTCCGAATTAAAAGAGAAAAACGCAATAAATTATATTTTTGAAAAGGTACCAAACTGAGTCTGAGATTATTCAACACAGTCACTTATACAAAAGGCCACTTTAATGGTAACTTAAATATGTCACAGTTCTGAACACACACACACATATATGCATGTATATATATGTATAAAAAAAGGCATCTAGGTTTTTTTTTTAGCCAATTAGTTGGTAAAATAAATATGCTGTTCTTTAAAAAAAAAAAAAAAAGGTTTGGATGTTGACATCATTTTAGTTTCTTATCACCAGCTCAGCCTGAATGTGTGAGGGAAGATCTTCTGGTGCAGATATTCTACCACGCTGCTCTTGGGGAGTTTCTCGAACTCATAAAAAGGAATCTAAAAAAATAGAAACAATCAAAAATTAAAAAAAGTTTAGCAGGCAGCATTCTACACAGAAAGCAACCATTCTGCGGGGAAGAAAACATACATTTAGTTAAGTTCTAACCTGCACAACTTCATAACCCAGCAGCTGCAGATGCCTCTGCTTCATGGCCTCATTTCCAAGCAGCTGTCTGACATTTGTGGTGAATCTCTTCTGTCCGTCAATGCATAGAGCTATTCTGTAACACAGATTATCAATTGTTTTTTTTTTATTTCCAAATCTGAATAATGTAAAATGCATTTAATTTGATCTGTTTCAATAAACTTCTTTCAATTTAGTGATGGCTGAACAGTTATGAGTAATTTAATCTGTCGTGTGAAGGCCTCAGAGGGACACAGCAGGCAGGTTAGCCAGAAAAATGGGAGGAAGGATGAAGTTACATTTAGGTTAAAAGAATAAAAACCATCTCAAGGTGTGAAAGTTGATATTCAAGCAGAGCAAAACTTCATTGTCTGTGGAAGGATATTCTGCATCAATAGACATAGAATTATAGTTTTATTTCATAATAATATAGCATTCCCAATATTTTATTATACCTCACAGTTTATAATTACAGCATTTGTTACCATTGCATGTGAGTGGAGCGGAAGAAATATGGTGGAGTGCAGAGTGGTTTTCAATTCAAAGGCTGCAGCGTGGATTTCACTCCGACTTTATTTAAATTCATGTTTAATTTAAAACCTAAGCCAATGCCTATGCTGTAGTCTGTGCCTATAATGTTATATGTCTATGTTTCAACTTTACCACGGAATCGCCAAATCTAGGACTGCATATTGTGCGATAAAAAGTGGGATAAAATATCATAAAAACATAAACTATACATAATACAGAATGGGTTTACATAAAGTGGTCGTTTCGGTAAGAGCCTGTTTGTGAAAATGGAATGCATACATGCATTATATGCTATTATCGCATTTGCAATGGAATGCAAAGTGACCTTTTTTAACGTAGTCTAGTAAAATAAATGAATAATTAAATAGGAAACATGGGCAACAAGAATGGAGCGAGATGTTACGTTCACAGCTAGGAAACGATAATTAAATAGCCAGTTAAATAAGACAAAACACATGTATGGGTCGCATCATTAAATCAAATGCTGTGTGTCCCAGGGCCCTGGCAGAAAGCAAAAATGTCAGAAAATGCCTTCCGAAAATCTGAGCAAACATGGAGCGATTTTGCCAGAGCGGCAGGAAAATTAAAGTGAGTGCAGAGCACACATCCTCCTGAGCGGGGAGTAGGAATTGCGCCGCACTCCGCTCCGTTCACACGCTCCGTTTGTCACTGAATTACATTCCATGTTTTACGTGTTTTGCATTTCAAATTATACTGGAGGTGTTTTTTTTTTAAGCTTTTATTTTGTTGATTTTCATATAGAAAATATATATTGACAGAAGTCCTTTTTTTTTTCATTAAAACTCCAAAGTTATACGCTATTTCTTTTGGGGAAATAATATGCAATTTAACAAAACACACAAAGGTCTGCTTGATAACATGACAAAATGCGGAGAGGTGTAAGGAGAGTAAATACTATGAAGTATCTGTATAGGAAACTTGTTTACCTTTTGTACACATCTTCAGTATGGCTTGCAGGAAGCACGTATCCCTCCTCATCAAGCTTTATCTCCACATCTACAACAACAACAGGTTAGTCTGAAAGAGGAGCCTTGAGAAACCCCAGGCCAACAGCCTCCTTAAAACAAAGGCATACCCAGAGTGTAGCAGTACGGCGTGAGGACCTTGGAGCCAAAGAACGATCGATCTCCCAGTAAATCCACCAGCCCAGTTTTTACTGAATTATACAGCTGCTGATCAACTGGTGTCTCAAGGGAGCGGCTGGACATGAGGAAAGACTTGACGCGGTACTTGGGAAGGAGCCGGGGACCCTGATGTTGAGATAAAAACATGATTTAACAGAAAATATGTCACAAATCTTCAGCTAAAGAACCTACGATTTTGAGACTGAGGATCACAGCATGGTGACAGCAAATGAATTGCTTAGATCCTATATTAAATAAGCTAGAATGTTTCAAATATTGTGCAGTAAAATCAGGTTCCAGATATAATAGGGTGGTGTTAAAAGGTGTTTATTCCTTTCCATATTTCTTACTTCTTAGCATGTTTGTCACAGATAGAAGTTTAAGAAAAATTTTAAATATTAGTCAAAATAAAGCTACTGCAGTTTTTTCAAAGAGTTTTTATCATTAATGGAGTAGGAAAATCTGTACCTTAATGGCTCTTTTTTGAAAAAAGGGAACAGAAATAGGGCACAACGTGGGGAAGGTAAAAGGGAGGAGGGTGAAAAATAATGAATGAAAGACGCAAAATCAAGGAAGAGAGGAAGGACAGAAAGGCAGAAAAGCTAAAAAAAAAAAAAAAAAGTTAGGCTCCATAATATTTCAGACACTCCCAGCCTGATTATTAATTCTGGATTATTGAATTTTAAACTTATCTAAGAGCTGCAGACTGTAGCTGAGCGTCACTGACTGATCAGCTAATATTGGCTTGTTAACCTCGTCTTACAGATAAAATGGGATATTTTTCTGTGCAGGTAGAAAATTTTAATTTAGCAGGTATTCATTCTATATTTATTCTTAGTCCATGTTTTTTTTTTTTTTATGGTTCTAGAAAATATAACAAACATCTGCTTTTCCACTTCTAATACTACAGCCTTTTGTGGAAATTAGAGCTGAGACAATCAGATTAATCGATTATTGAAATAATCGTCAACTAATTTAGTCACTGATTAATCATTTACTGGAGTGCAGACTCGAAAACATGCCTTTAGCTGACAGAGCAACCCACTTAGATCAGCAATTATGCCAAGGTATATATACATATAAACATATATAAGATTTTAAAAACATTCCCGTTGATCAATACGCTCTATCCAGAACACATCAAGTGGAAAATGTTTGTTTCACCTGGTTTAATTACATAAGAAAAACCTTCTTTAAGGAACCTTTGGCTATCAGATTATTAATCGAGAAAATAATTGACAGATTAATCAATTAGCAAAATAATGATTAGTTGCAGCCCTACTGCAAATACTATGAAACTGCTACTTAATGCTACAATTTGTTACCTGTGTGGTTTAAAAACATACTGTAGGATGGATGAAATCCACAGCATCTTAATGAATTGACAATATGAAAAAAAATAAAATAAAAAACATGTTTACATCTTCTCATTTTCAGAACTTTAGAAAAAAGAAAACAGTAAGAAAACAAAGAAGTGAACCTACAACACTGGGGCTAAACAGGAGGGAGTGTATTCAGGTTTCTGTCTATTGTTATTTAACTCTCCAGGCATTTAACACTCTTTACCTCATAGAAGGGACATTCCAGCTTCACGGTCATGTAGAGCTGAGTCAGCTGTGCCACAACTGCCCGTTCGATTCTCATGTCCTGATCTAAGCCAGAAAAAGAGGATATTTTATCAGAATAACTTAATTAAAAGGCTAATTAAGAGCATTGTGGGATAAGTTTATTACTTGCTGTATTTCATTCACCTGTTTTTGCTCATATAATGATTTGGGAAAATAAAATACCTACATTTTATTTCTTGAGGGAAAAATCCTCATCATGTATTGCAGATTGACAATCATTGACAAAAATAAAAGTCTGATTCCAAAATAAGCATAAATACGTGGTTTCATGACCATCACTTCACTGGCCTGATCTAAACCCCAGAGAAAGTCTAAAGAGTACCGTCAGAAAACCAGAGGCAAAAATGTTACTCCTCAACAGAGCCACAGCCTGATCATCTACAAGTACTAAAAAATTTAAAAGGAGCACGGAACAAGTACTGTGTCCACATACTGTAAAACAGACTTAAATATTTAGTAGTATTGCAGCGATACCAGTATCGGGCGGGGCCCCGATCCAGCACTAAAATGGTGGTATTAGTTGGTAGCATGTTTTATAAATGTCTAAGAAGGTCAGTGATCACTTTTCATTAGCCCCACAATCATTTAAACCCATTTAAACCATCAAATATAGATGTTTGAAATCATTGTTTTATAGATCTACATGAAACAAAGTACTGATTTTACATTTTAATTACATTATAATTTAAATGGATGCACTGAGAATATATTTCACCTTGTAGTTGCTGCAGGAAGTAACTGCTGAAGACTTTAGAGACAAAATTGACAGGGAACCTCTCGACCAGGGTGCAGGCGTGCAGCAGGTTGAGCAGCGTCCGCGGCTGGAACTGTGAGAAACGGGTGTGCAGGATGGATTCTACTTTCCTGAACAACTGGCCGGCGTTGGGTGGAAGGTAACCCAGCTTCCCAAAGGCCGTGATCTGCCTAGCTACCTGGCTGGTGCTGTAGCTGTCTGCTCGGTATACGAAGCTCTCAGCGACAGCATCAAAGACGGTCGGGGAAAGTAAGCACCTGCGGCCAAAGAACTGCGTGACCTTTGATATGGTCTCTGGATGGGAGGTGAAGGCCATGGTGGGGACATACTTCTCCATCGCTTCCACAAAGTAGTGATCACTGTGGCCGAAGTGTATGAGAGCACCCAGCACGTGGGTAAGCTCCTCATCACTGAAGTGAGGTACGTGTCGAACAGCTTGTTTACACAGACCGATCACAAGAGGCATGGCCTGCATTTGGTTCAGAGTAACAAGCGATCTCAGGACTCCACTGACCGCTGTAGGGTCCATCCTGGAGGTGACTGTTACTGCATGGGTGTGCATGGCGTTCAACAAATCACGGTATTTCCCATCTTCACCCATACAACCTTCCAGAAGTCTGTAGACGGCGACAAAGTCTGGGAGACTCCACTGTCTGGGATCCTGCTTCTGAATTTGCGCCACCGCCTGCTCCAACATTGCAGACGCTGGCCCCTCCATGGCCAGCACGGCCTGGCCGAAGGTACAAAGCTCCCCTACTGTCATCTGTCCTCTGTCAAGTCGATTCTGGCTCTCTGACACCAGGCGCACCATCAGGGTGCTCCAGGGATCCAAAAACAGGCGGGTACATGCATGCAGAGCAGACACCAGCCCTGCCTCTGTCAGCCGCTCAGAGTCCTGCTCAAGCTGGCAGCACAGGCCCCGGATGGTGTCATCCGCCAGCACTGATGGGTCTCTCAGAGCGGGGCCCTCCTGCTCCAGGTCAGCCACACGGTGAAGAGAGGCTGCAGCCATAGTATCTGACAGGATCTCCACTGAGCGCAGCAGCTTGAAGACTTGCCGGGAGGTGGAGCAGCTCTTCAGCTGCCGCCGGAATCCCTGCTCCTCATCGGCCGAGGGTCGGTGCAGCTGGGTCAGACGAAAACGAAGTTCAGAGTCTCTGTGGAGTCCAACGGAGCTGCTGGGGAAAAAGGAGCGCTCTCTGACGATAGTAGTCAGACTCCTTGTCCTAGAGTCCATTTGGAGCTTCCTGCAGCCATGCCTCTGGAAGCAGCGGCCAGCTGATGTACAGCGACAGGCGACACAAGAGGAGCGACCCAAACTGCTGGTGTGGATCAATCTGATGCCAACAGGTTCAGCAAAGTAATAATGGTTGCTGAGCTGTGTGAGGAGCCGATGGTTCTGAATCAGCTTCAGGGCCATGAGTTCTGGTTCTGAGCTTCCCAGTACCAGCTAAAAAATGAAAACCAAAAGGTCAATATTAAAAAAAAAAAAAAAAAAACAGATGGAAAACTAAAATGTGGGGAAAAAATAAGCAAACATTGATCCAGTTTAAGCTCTTTAGGCCTCTAACTGCAGTACTGTCACAAAATTCAAATTTACAAATGTTTTTATTGCGAGTGAAACGTAAAAAACTAATTATATTACAAAGGTTTTTTCAGTGAGGCTGATAAAAGCATCAGAGGTTCAACCTAAAACAGACTGTGTGTTTTCCCCCTCCTCTTTATACACCATGAACTAATCTGTCATATAAAATATAGATTTTGTTTGCAATGTGGAAAGTTGTAGGCTAAGGCTGATATTACTCATCTGTATTAAGCTGTAATAATAATAATTATAAATGTGGAAAGCATAAAACATTAGCTGATGCAAAGAAGGTATTATTTAATTTCACTTTGTGATCAATTAATTATTATTGAATGAAATAAATTAATCAGAATGACAGCAATTTAAGGAATTTACAAATCATGTTATCTATTTCAACCTTGCAGAATATAATCTAAAGAAAACAAATAGGAAGACTAAAACTAGCTTAACTTTTCCTCTGTGCCTCTTAACTAACCAACCTTGAGGGCTGCGGCTAGCTGCGTTAGCTACTCTGGGTCTAAATGTATGTGTCGAATTAAAAGTATTCGCGGCGGTGTTATTGTCACAAGCAAGCTTTACGATATATAGTTTTATTCACTGCTACAAAAAATATAAGAGACAAGGCTGGGAGCTAATAAAATCCATACCTGATCCTGGACAGCCGCTGACAGCGGAGATGCTAACAACGCCGGTTAGGGGTGCGTTGCGTTTTGGCTCCCTCTGAAATAACAGTACTTTCGATAGTTGAACGAATTCGAAACGCAGAACCGTCACACAACATGGTTAAACGTTGCAGCTTTAAAGTATACAAAAAAAGTATTTCAGCTAAGATAAAATATAACGTTATCTGCTACAATGTGTTACTCGTTTTGTAACAGTTTTTTGTCCTATTTTTTTAGGGGGTCCCGAAAAGCATCACAATACAGCACTAAATCTTTAAGACACTAGAGGGCGACAAAAAACAACCCGTGTATATTATTTAATTCAACATTTGTGGTTCGAACCTGATTAAATTGATCTTCGTAGGGAGATTAACATTAATATTTATTAATTTAAAATATATTTTTGACTATATTCTGAATCATTTCAATAGGGTTTGGTACTGCTCATTATGGAGCACCTTTTAGGAATAAAGGTGCGTCTCATAAAACTATATTATTTATCAAATTTGGTGTTGTCATGCCAAATTAAACACAAGCAGAGGTGGATAATGCAGGTCCAGAAAGTATAAGGCCTGTACACAGATCAGTTGTATGTATTCTCAGCTCTGTTGAACAGGATGAAGGAAATCAAGGAAGTTTTTCTGTGTTTTTTTCCCCAAGTCAGAAGACTTGATCACAGTGCTTTACACAATAATTAGTCATTCATACACCGATGGTGGCAAGCTACATTGTAGTCACAGCTGCCCTAGGGCTCACTGATAGAAGCTGCTGTACACCGGTCCTCTGAGCACCATCAGTAGATAATGCAGATAATGCAAATTCCTTCTTCGTCTTTACCGTTGACAGGCTGCAATTCCTTGATTTCCAGCCACTTTTGTTGAAATGAGCATTTTCCTTTTCTCGAGCCTTTTCTCCGCCTCGAGCTTCTTTCCCGTACATACGGCTTTATGATCAACTGGAAGCAGTTTTAGCAAATATATATATCGTTTAATAAACTGTTTTTTCTAAATAAAGCATTTTAAATGCCATTAATAATCACATTTAATGCATTTTAATGCCAATTCAGGCTTAATTACAAATAATTAATCAACTATTTAATGACTTTTAATGAATTTTAATGACCCGCAGAAACCCTGTTGTAAAAAACTAACAAAGCCATCTGTCCTTTGAGTGCTGTATTAAAGTATATTTATGTTTAGAAGGAAATAATGCAGGCGCAACAAAGTTAACTTCAATACAGAAGTATAAGGAAAACCAAAGGCTGCTATGCAAACCTGGGCCGATAGCCTCCATATCTCTTTGCTTTGATAAATGAATTCAGTAAAGAGCTCAGAGTATTGAGTACATTCTTTACAATGTACAGGCTTGTCAGTAGAATATTGGAATAAAATTAATTCTGAAATATTCCAGTTTGAGATGATTATAAAGAAAGGAGAGTTTGTTATAACTGACCATGTTTATTGAAAATAACCTATAAAAGCCTCATGAAAAGTGACCCACAGAAATCTAATATAAAGGCACAGCACTGTAAGCAACTTGACATCGTCAACTGACAGCATGGGGAGATGTTTACTGGGCGATATATAAAAAACACTTTAACCCTGGAATAAATTGAAAGCAAATGAGATCATACACTGGGCAATCTTGACTCATAGTTCAAAGTCCCTTTGTCTGTTAAACATTTTATTACTCAAGAATTTAGATTAACAGGCAAAACCAGACATTTCAAATTTGCATCCCTATATTTCTCGTAATGGTTAAGGCTGCCATAAAAAAATATGTTCTTGAACAACCATCATTCCCTGCTGGCTCTTAAACAAATCCATCTTGTGCAAGTCAGAACATGCTGAATGAATTTAGTGGAAGAGGAGAGCAAACTTGTCAAGACAACTCAGGACAGAGTTGGTCCATAAGAATGTGATTTACACCGAGGAATAGGAGGGGGAGGCAGCGTGAAGCACCCTGTTACAACTGTGTTTTATGAAAGGATAACTATCAGAAGAAATACAATTGGATAGAGGGCTTTATTTTAAAAAGTTAATATAAATGTAAAACTTAGCTAAACATGATCACAAACTGCAGTCGTTAATCCCTTGAAGCTATTAATGTTCAGCTACCTCACATCTTAATACGAGATTTTACAAACTCATTTGGCAAAATTGGAAGTTCACAGCAAACAGAGAAGAGTTATTGCTTTGGTTTGTATTAACGGGATCTTTACAGTAAAGTCGAGACATGCAGCATTGTGATCTAGCTGATGGCAGAGGAGGAGGCAGGTCAGAGGAAACCGTCTGGTTTGGGTGTTTTAATCGTCCTTGTCCTTGGCACCATGCTTTAGGATGCGTGTGAACTCCACGTAATTGAAGTTATTCTTCTTGTCGATGGGAGCCTCCCTGAAGAGCTCGTCCACCTCCTCGTCTGTAAACCGGTCACCCATTGTTGTGAGCAGCTCCCTGAGGTAATCCTCATGAATGAAACCTAATGAGTAAGAAAGGCAGCAGAAATTATTTTAACTTTCTGATGTAATGTTTGGAAGAAAGCTCTGCAAGCTTGGTAAAACTGAAAGCAACATCATCTTTTCAACACATTTAGTTTAAATTCCAAGTATTTGCATAAGGTAAAGATGTGACAAAAAGAAATGTTATTTTCAGGGCTCTGACAAAATTTTATTATAATCTCATGGTCTCTCAAACATTGTCATTGGAGTAGATGTTCAATAAATTGGCTGAAAGAGCTCAGATTTACCTGTTCCCTCCTCATCGAAGCAACCAAACGCATTTCTGATCACATCCTCGGGGTCTGTGCCGTTGAGCTTCTCCCCAAACATGGTGAGGAACATGGTGAAGTTGATTGGTCCAGGGGCTTCATTCATCATGGCTTCCAGGTAGTCTTCATTTGGATTTTTCCCTTTAAAAAGATGTGTTCTTAAGGTTACATCTCAGTAGAAAGTCAAACCTCTATTTTTCTGTCTAAAGTCCATATTTCAAGCTAAACAACTGTAGATAAGCAAGTGTTCAATTTTTTTTTGCTTTTAGGAAAAACTGAACAAAATGTGTACCATTTCTGTTTAAGTGAGGTATGCACTGTAATGATTGGGGATATTGAAAGGGTTGAAATTTACTGAAAACAGATTTGTCTGTTAAGAAAAACCGGTGTGGCGACTAATTGTCCAAACTGCTGCATACTTTATTTAGATTTATTTAAGGCAGGAAAGTGTAAAACTAATCAAAACAAGTGTAATGAAGTCAGAAAATACAACATTACTAATTATTAATAAAATATCTTTCCAATCTTTTAGCAAACTGTTCAATTTCAGTCAGTTTATCACAGAGTTTTATTTACCCAGAGAGGCAAGCATGTCGTGAAGGTCCTCTTTGTCAACAAAGCCGTCCCGGTTCTGGTCAATCATGTTAAAGGCCTCCTTGAACTCCTGAATCTGGGACTGATCAAACATGGCAAAGACATTGGAGGTGGCGCGCTGAGGGCGCTTCTTGGTGGTCTTTCCCTTAGCTCTTTTGCTCGACATTGTGACTGGCTTAGTTTACTTCTGCAAAAGTTAAAAAACCCAAGAGTAACGTTATATTCAAGGAGCTTAAGAGAACGAAAAGCATTACAAATCTGACATTTTCACAGAAAACATGACATAATGGCTCTAAACCAACATCTAGCTTAAAATAGATATTTTTAAAAGGTGTCCACTATTTGACATGTAGATCACAGGTAAAATTTGTGCAGATTAAACAGCGGATAAACTAAATAAATGCTCCTTAGAAACTGATGTCAGAATTAGTAAAAATAGCAAAACCTTAAGCTTTCCAGGTGTTGTTCATTTTACTATTAAATATATATATTTACTTTATAAAGAAACATCCATAACATTGAAGTATTTCTGTGTCTATTTCCATATAAATACAATTACGCAAAAACTATGACAGGCATGTATGTGTTAAATAATGCCATCACTGAAAACCCCCCAAACCAAAGAAGAGAGTTTGATGCAATGGTTCAAGCCTCAGCTTCCCTCGGGATCAAGGATTCAGTTAGGAGGTGGAGGTAAGACATAATTATTTTCAAGTTGTTGCATATTAGCAATACAGTCTGAAATAAATGAAAACACCACACATGTCTTCAGTTTTATTTCTTTTAACTAATAAACCCTTTTTCCCCCCCACTTAGGATACACTACATGTCACACATTTAAAACCAGCCAAAACATTTTAATATTTAAATTTTTCAATACTCAAACACAAGGACAATATAAATGTATTTAGACCACAGTACAGGCAAAAGAAAAGAGTTCAGAGACATTATAGTAGATTAATATGATTTAGTACACTAATGATGCTGATACTCAAAATAAAATGTTATGATGTCACATCTATCCCAGTGGCGGTGTAATTTAATCCCATAGCAGCTAATCTCTGGGGCTGGATTCCTAGCTGAGCTAAAAATGGAAATGTCCCTCTCTTTCTAGGTTGGTCAGCTCTCTGTTTTAAATGAGGTTAGGAAAGTTACTGATGTGAGGACAGATGCCCTTATCAGGATATGTCTGGAATGTAGACTTCCCTAGGTACATCTGACATAATACCCTGGACAGCAAAACAAGTTAGAACTGGACATAAGAACGCATAACAGCCAACTAATTCATTCAGACAAGACAAATTAAATCAATTTATACACATTAGGATTCTAAGCATATTGTCATTCCTTTTCTGTTTTGCCAATACAAATAAGTGATTTAACACACAGCTACCACAATAATTGACATACATTTCTCATTAACCCCTTTTATTCTACATACTAGGATACCTAATATATTTAAAATACCTTAAATAGCCGAAACAAACAATTATTAGCAGTTCGTCAAATCTTTTCACTCCATGTTATGCGGCCTAGTTTAAACAATAGCGTGAGCAAATATAACGTAAGCCGAACATTAATGAGGCAATACGATGTAACAATATAGCCAAAAACTACCCTAACAAGCTAAACATTCTGGTTAACTTATGTTTTTAAATAACTAAACAACATATGGTTTTACTAGCCTGAGATTAGCCCCACAGCTAACTGTTTTTATTGGCCTTAGCCGAGCTCTGAACACGATAAATTTTGGTGTTAGTTACTTGTAGGACCTAAATAGCTGCAGCTTTTATGTAGCGTAGCCATTTAAGATATATTTTTGTACAGTTAAGAATGTTTAGATGTCTAATAAAGCAGAACCTTACCTTTGTACGAACTGGTAATTTCAAGCTAATCAGCTGCCGCTCCGTTTCTCAACCACCGCCCTTCACTTCCTGATGTTGTGGGTTCAGAGCTAAACGTCGGAACAAACCAATGCCAATGACAGGGGGGATGAATGCGCTGCTTATCACACGATTCCTTCATGCTAAGAAACAAATATATAGGATTTATTTCAACACACAGCTTCTAAAATACTTTATTGTATCAATTTGTTCATAAATATTGAAGTTAACTATCAGGTTTGTATATAATATAATAAAAACTTTTATTTTTACCACCCGGCTGGGTAAGTGGAACTTCCCTGAAACGCTCCCTCGGCTGCGTAGAGCCATAGGCGTTTTTGGATATGCCCTTTTAAGGAAAGAAAGAACATGTCCGTCTTTCGCAATCCCTCTAAGATAAAATTCAAATAGGTCCTGTGTAAATTACAGTTATGATTAAATATTTGCACGTATGATTAAATGAAAGAAATCCTGTAAAGTAGAATATTATCAATGTTTTTTATTTCAATGATAAGATGATACATCATAGATTTATTACACACAAAAATATATTTTTAATTGTTAGTCCTGTTCATTTTGTTAATGCTAGTTGTAGTTTTTTTTTTTTACAGAAAGGTCGAACGTTGTGGCCAAGTTATGGGTTCCAAAACAATAGGGAAGACTACTGACCAGCACACACTGGTAACCCCCCCATAGGCAGCAAAAATTCAGTTCTTATAGAGCTAGCAGTTCAGAAAGATTACTATCATATTAATGGAAAGTTAGATGGAAAAAAAATTGCAGAGAGCGCAAAAGCTCTGGAATAACCAGAAAATTGCAGCCTGCTTTCTGCCTCCTACTGCTAACAAGTTATAAAAGTCTGATATCATTTACAGCATGACTTGCCTAAAAACCAAATGTACCAATACCTTGTAAGTTTTGTGTTTAAACAGCAACTAAACGGACACACAGTGATCTATAAGATTGCAGACTGAACTATGCAGACAAAGCAACCCTTTAGGCATATGCTGATCACCTCTGTGCCACATATGCAGGAATTTATGCCGCAAGATTAGTTGCAAAGTATTTAGTTAAAAAAGATGAAGCTTATTAAAGTTGTTTCCATTTCTAAACCATTTTTTCAAACCCGTTAAGAGTTATTTATATGTGTTGCTTTAAAGACATAAAATGTTTTCCTAAAGGCTGCTTGGTGAATTTTTTATCCTTTATCCCACATAAGACTTAAAATTATTTCAATAAGATTAGAAAAAATGTTTTTTTTTTTTTCATTGACCTAACTGAAAAAGTTACTGAAAAAAATAATGACGTGGTATTTATATCATGTCATATTTATATCTCCTGGCTGGCCAGTATTATGAAGACAACAGCTGTTTCAGCAGCCATTGTTTCAACAGAGGCTCATTGTCTCATTGTCTCTCTAACATGTGGAACTGTTGACTCAATGTTAAAAGTAAGGCACATTTCATCCTGCTCACGTCAGGACCCATAACTGCAAAGCTGAACATGCGCTGTCAGTCTTGGATAGATAACTGTATGGGGCGAGTCAGCATCAGTAAAAAGAGAAAAAAAAAGATTTGTTTTCAGAAACCAAGTAAAATATTTTTTAGGAAGTTTTGATTTCCTTAACTAGTTTTAGAGTAAAAAACAAAAAACGAGTACTTTAAAGTTTGTGGTATTGAGTATTTTAATCAGCAGTACACCATGAGTCTCTCGCTGACTTTCAATTTGGATTAAGGAAACTGAATGGCTGACTAAAGTGGATGTCAAACAGATTTTATTGGTATGACCTTTTAAGACTATATGTTTTGAAATCAATCCTAAAGAAAACTGGGAAACAATGGATAGAAGCCAGAAAAAGAGACATGCACTCATGTTTTTTAGCAACAATTTAAAGATGAATTACTGCATTGTGGATTGTTAGTAAGCAAAACAAATGTTTAATTTTACCCAGCATACAAGCATTACAACAATCTCAGTCAGAAGGCATAAATTACTTTTTAAGGTATTTGGTCAACATGACTTCTCCTTGGTAATGAGTCTTTCTAGCTTCAGAGTGAGTTCAAGACACATTAAAATAAAAAGAAAAATGATCAGTAATTTAAAGTAAGAACAGGCAAGTTTTTTAAGGCATCACAGAGTCAAAAATATAAAAAATATGTGGGGTGCCCTGAGGAAAGCAGAGGAAGTGAGACATCCACACTCTCTGAGAGAGTGGGAAAATATAGGTCAACTATGGTATACTGATAAACCCAACACAAGAAGACAGAATGTTTGAATGGGATCAATATAAGGTATTTGAGATTGTGCATAACATTGTTTCAGCTTTAAGAGTTTATACACTTTAAACCTCTAACATATTTGGATTGGTTTAATTATACAGATTAATTGTTACATTATATGTGGAAAACACTCGAGAAATTATTTATTAAAGTTTGATATTATTATACAGAAACCTTTATACCTAATGTTTGTAGAATCTAAACATTTGGAAGCAAAATTTAGTTCCTAGTTTGGATTTAAAGGCTTGGCCAGTAAAGCTGATTCAGATTTTGTCATTATTTGTTTAACTTCAGGCTTAGGCTCTTGACCAATTTTTCTTACTCACTTAACTTACATCCAAGTTCAATTTCTGGTTCCATTAGATTTGTTTTCTCTCATTTTGCAAGTATCAATGGTCCAGTTTCTTAGATTTAGTCTCTTCTCTGTCCTCATCCGCTCATGTTAGAGGAGGATTATTGCCTAAAGTCTAACAGCTTTTAATTTTAAAGAAGTTAAAGAAACAGATGGGTGTGTGTTTGTTTACTTATATGAAGTATTACATAAAAAAGATATACGAAATGCATCCATATTGTAGTTAAAATAAAAAGGTTGTAAACCAGTGTTTATTCCAGAACTGTCTTATCTAATTAACTATTCAGTGTTCTTGGGGAAGTAGTTTTTAGCACTGTTGCTTTGCAGCTTTACATCCTCTTACTGTCCACATAGATGATTAATAGGCTTTTTTTTTACGTTAGCAGCGAGTGTCTGCATGCATATTTGCGTATCCTGTCTCTTGGTTGCCCCACGATGGACTGATGACCTGTTCAAGATGTAGCCCACCTCTTGTCCTATAAATGCTGATAATAAACACCAGCATCCCTCTGTTGCCTTACAAAGATAAGTAAAAAAAAAATCATTATATAAATGGGTGGACAAATCATCTTTGTATCACATTTGACCACTAGAGTGTGCAGTTGTAGCAATTCAATTCAATTTCCTTAGTCATGTTTTAAGGTGGTTATAAGTCTATTTTTCATTTCTATCCATGAATATCATCTGATGTAAAGTATTATTGCTTCTTCAAGCCCAGACACAAAATGTATGTTTTCCTAACCTATAATTAAACCAAATGGTAAGAAAAACAACCTGATACTTCAGTATATTTCGATTTTAGAGGATTTTGTTACCTCTAAAGGGAACACATTTAGACTCCTTGTACCATTTCAAATTTTGAAATTAAACCCATACAGTCCGATATAGTTTATTACGGTCATATGTAACAAACAAACATAATTTATGTTAACTAAAGAATCAATACTCCTCAAAATGCCTTATAAATAAACATCTAGGACTGTGCACTTGTGTTCAGCACTCTTAAATCAATGCTTCTCTGGAGTTTTCTAGGACATTATCACCTCTGAATATCTTTTAAATGTAATCATTCCATTGTACCTCTGCAGGACACGTTCTTCCTTTCCTTTCTTCCTTCCTTCCTTGGATCACCAGCTAAGACTCGCCTGACCAGCTAAGACCAGTTAGGATCAGCCTGACCAGCTAAGACCATCAAACACTCTAAGCTGTTTTTCAATTCAATTGGGCTCACCTGGTTCAGTGGCTGAGCAAAAGAAACCCATGACACAGAGATGACTTGTTGGCTCCAGATCCCCCATCTCTGCACTGGGGTGCTGACTCAGAGGCAGGAAGTTCAAACCGCAGTGTGACAGATAATTACATCCTCCCACCTTTTTGTCGACTTTAGGTTGTACTTCCAAAAAAATAGGCAATATAGTCTCCATAGAGCCTCCAGGGTCTATGAGTCTATGAGCAAACGGGTAGACTAACAGCAAAAGCTCCAATGGAGATGAACAGTGGGTGTAGATGGGTGATGAGTACCCTCTCTAACATTTCATTAGGCAAAGAGTTTTTGTCCCCAACACTGTGATGTTCCAGGTCTTTGAGGCTAGTGCCTCGACATCTTACCCTTCCCTTTCTACCTAATGTTTAACATGTAACCCATTTTTCTGTTCTTAATGGCATTTTGAATTATGGAAACTGACAAATAATCAAACTTTTTTTTTTTTGTCTGATCAATAATAGACCAATTAGGGGACCCCACAATCCAGTATCTATGTTTTTGGATTTCCATCCACCTGAGTAATACAAACACTAGTCTACAACCAATGCTATGCTGTTTCTCAGCTTTGGGAGGGATGGAGCCAAGTAATGCTACAATTATACTGAAAAAATAAAAATAAAAACATTAATTGTTCTTTTGTCTGATTTGCTGTGTATACATCACAATATCTAGCTGAAAAAAACAACAACAAATCACTTTAACCTCTTATCTGTCCCAGCTGTGTGATCCTGTTTGTCTTGTGTGACCCCCAACATTTAATGGTAGGTTAATCTCTTTTAATGGGCTCACATTTCGAATGGCTGCCACAACATTTNATCACCAGCTAAGACCCGCCTGACCAGCTAAGACCAGTTAGGATCAGCCTGACCAGCTAAGACCATCAAACACTCTAAGCTGTTTTTCAATTCAATTGGGCTCACCTGGTTCAGTGGCTGAGCAAAAGAAACCCATGACACAGAGATGACTTGTTGGCTCCAGATCCCCCATCTCTGCACTGGGGTGCTGACTCAGAGGCAGGAAGTTCAAACCGCAGTGTGACAGATAATTACATCCTCCCACCTTTTTGTCGACTTTAGGTTGTACTTCCAAAAAAATAGGCAATATAGTCTCCATAGAGCCTCCAGGGTCTATGAGTCTATGAGCAAACGGGTAGACTAACAGCAAAAGCTCCAATGGAGATGAACAGTGGGTGTAGATGGGTGATGAGTACCCTCTCTAACATTTCATTAGGCAAAGAGT